GGACTAGAATGCCCCTGATTAGTGATGGGACACCTAGACAAATAAACAATTAAAACATTAAACAGATTTAGGCCCAATAACTAAGAACATAAGACACAAATAAGACCAACTTAAACACTAATAACAGCCGAACCAACAAAATCCACTCTTAATGGGGTGGAAACACCATGCCAACAACCAGTTATAGATCTGTTCACAAATCAGCCCTCTTCAAGTAAACAAGTAGAGGGTTTCTAACATCCTACTGAAATGAGCACCACAGCAACTACTGGAGGCATGATTACCTCCTAAAGGGAAAAATGATCAACCCTCTTTGGTCCCTTGTTGATCTTCAAACTATGTGATGAGATAACCCCAAAATACAGGACTGATATGGTGATGCAGAGAAGAGAAAAAACAAAAGAAAAACCAGAGCTCTAATACCATGTTAATGGTTCGGTTAGCACTGGTTCATTTCTAGGTCTGAAATGAAAAAGAAAGAACAGAAGAGAAGAAGAGGAAGAGAATAGAGAGAACGGCTGGAGAAAAATCACCCTCTCCCAGCTGACTACCTTCTTATTTATATGTTCAGTGTCTTGGTGTACAAAGACTACTATGTCCCTAATTAAATACGGGACACGTAACTTAAACAAAGATAAAAAGGACAATTTAACTCTAATAACATAGCAAAAATACCATACTAGTACTACCCTTATGACTGCTGACTATAAAACTTCAGACTTTTTCCAAGCAGGGTTGTGAATCACATGAGCGACCAGGTTAATATTTCATACCAATTACATCCACACTAAATGTTTCATACCAGTTTAACCCATACTAAAATCCAATAGTAATATATTTCAGGTGTATATGTAATCACTTGGCTGAGCTATTGTGAATTGCATGAGTCCGTCAGGATTATTTAAGACTGACTGACAGTCAGAAAAATTTGCAAATCATTAGTGCACATGTGATATTTTGGATTTATCATTCACAGGCATAAGAAACTGGCATCAAAGCTAATTTCTAGTTTACCTATCAGTAAGATTATTAAAACATGCCTAACTTTTTTTTTTTGCTAAAATAGCTATGATTCCATTTATGGTCTGAAATGAAAAGATGATAGGGGGAAGATGGAGTGAACTCCAGCTCACCAATCAATTGATCAGAATGCATATATTCCAACCAATACACACACACACAAGGATGGCATCATATTTTATGAAAGTATGAGCAGTGGAGTCAATAGAAGATGATGGCTCACTGATTCCTTTTGAAGGTGAAATTGCAGCATTCATTTTGATAACTTCTGCACCTGAAGAAATATCCCATACCTTAGTGGTAGTGTTGCTTCCCCAGTCAAGAGAGCATAAAAGTGAGACTTAACTGTAAAAGCTCCATTTGGATAAATATCCCATACCCTTCTACCAATATTTAAATGTTGGTAGAACAACTTGAAGATTTTAATACAAGTTGATATGTAAAGTGATGAAGCACGGAATATGCATTATTTTATTAAAATAGAAAATGATTTTAATGCAAAAAATGATATATAAAATGATGAATCACAGAGTATGCACCATCACACTGACAATCACAATCACAAATAGCACATGAAAAAATTTACCACTAATAGAATCGATGCTAATGCACAATGCACATGATATCATAGATGTGACCACCAAAAGAATTTACAGTCACAATATAGATATTGTGACCACTAATGCACATGAAAAAATTTACAGTCACAATCACAAATAGCAAAGAACCACCGAAAGAATCGATGCTAATGCACAAATTCACTTGCACAAATTAGTAGGAAAGGCAAAAAATTGAGAACATTTTCAAGCCTAGATATCATAGATGATGGCACATGAACTGATGAAGCAAGAAATTTTTTACAAAAACCATAAAGTATTTTACACAAAAATCCCCCCTACAAACCTGAAGAGAACAGATGATGGATGGATGTAAACTTCTTGAGAACCTCGAACAGTCTTGTACATCCCACCCTTACTGAAGGTCTATAACAAGATAAGACACATTTTAGATTATGTGACATCAATGAACATGGAAATGAGTAATAATGGATAATCGGCCAGATTATTCTGGCTAATATAACAGTTTTCTTGGATTAACCTTCTGACTGATGAGAACTAAGCAGCGTTATAGTCCTATCCATGCCAGGAAGGGAGAAAAAACCAAATTATATTCCTTCTATATTTAACATGCTTGTAGGTAAAGGTACCAATTTACATTTGACTGAATTACTTTCAAAATCAAAACATCATTCATTATAAAAATCAAAATGACATAAATTTGAATGACATGTCAAACATAGAAAGCATGCATGTTACTTTCCAAGGCATATGAGTTCTCTGTAATTGTAACAAATAGTGGCAATAATGACTCCAATAAATATTAGATTAACAAATGTTTATGGTTATATAACTTTGTAAATCATGTAGCAACTACAGGTTGAGTTTTCCAGTTTTTCTTGATTCCCAGTTCACAGTGAGTATTTATTCTTGACCAACACAAACAAAAATGCTGTTTCCAACATTCTTTTAATCACTAGCTAGATCAAAAACTTTATTGTTTTCATCTTTTGATCAGCATGGATCAAAAAGATTTACTAGAGTAGTAAAGAGGTAAAAAGGGAATACTGTATCTAGGTAACCAATGATCGAAACTAGATTGTAAAAAATAGGAAAAAAAGAAAAAAGGTTCCTTGAAAGGGTCAGCCAAGTAAAACCAAACACACCAGAACTAAAATCAAAAGTGACAACTATTATAAGAGGGACACTCCCCCAATGCCATCTTCTAGACTACTAGGCACCAGAGCTAATATCATCTCTAACAAAATGAAGGGACATTCAAGGCTTCTCATTTTTCAAATGCCCAAACATAGATATGGGCACAGATAGAGGAAACAGGAATATGCCTTTGATATAGGACTGTTCGGGGAAATTTGTTGAACAGGTGGCCTGGTATTGGTTGACTGCTGCAGAAGCAAATAAATTTTGATCAAAGATCGTTTAAAGGCAAACCGTTTTATTGTAGTGAAATAGGCAGGCTTCTTGAAAGGATAGATAGAGAATTGAAGACTGGRACCTGCCTATGAAGAATTTTTCAATAGAGAGTAACTGGGATAACTAAAAGAATAGATTCACTTTTGAGAATTGGTTGAAAAAACAGTTCAGGGAAGAGATCTCTTTAGGATCAATTGAAGGTTAAAACGATAAATTGACTACCACTGAAGAAAAGAGTAATAGATCACTACTCTAGAGTTCCTGGTCAAGTGTCTAGGTCAAGAAATCACTCAATAGTTTGACACATTTCACAATCAAGAGAATTACAAGAGGAGAAATTTTAACACTTATTCCATCCTTCCAAGTATGAAGTTTACACCAATAATTATAGACCAATTTAAGGGGGACAATCTGAAGAGAAGGGAGATCCATCATATGGATGGCTGAACCATTAGGGTGGCTGGGCAAAATTTCAAAAATTTCTTTCTCCCCTCCAAGAATCGTCTTCCATGTTTTAGAAAAATTGCTTTCAAGGTTCGTTCTTGAAACAAACTAGACCAGATTTGTAACCAAGATTAAGGGAGGGATATACCTGATACAGAACCCACGAAAGTAGCTCCCAATGTAGGTGTTCACACCCAAAGAGGTTACCAAATCCCACCTCCACTAAAGATGACATAGCTTAGGATGAGGTAGGATCAGCAAAGCAATTCTTCAATCCTTCAGGTAGGATCACGCAGGGGATGTGAGCACAACTTCAGATTGATTCTTCTAGTAAGAAACAATATCAAGATCTAATCTTGATCACTCCAAGAATATGGAGATCGAACTGGTAGGGCGGCAAGAGCAGAGAGAAGAACTGTATGCAAAAGTGTTTAATAGAAGGATTTCGCCCTCTATTTATAACCTCTTTGGATCAGCTTCCTAATCCTATCAAGAAAGGGTTCTTTGATCAAAATCTTTATTTGGATCAGAACTCTTAAGTGGATAAGACTTATCTTATCCTCTTGCTGATCCAGATCTAGATCTAAACTAAAATTCGCCCATATTTAATTAACTACATTAACCTAGTTCGAAATGGGCTTTAGGCGCATTAAGTTATCAGGCTCACTTCCCTTTTAATTTGTTGGCTAGCTTGGCTCTCTTTGTATGGCGTGGGACCCTAACATTGATCTCCACAAAAGCCATATGGGTTCAGCCTAGCCTCTGTTACAAGGCCTGGCCGAATTTACTGCTGAATGCAGTAAACCCCTAAGCCCATCAGTATGGGCTCTTAATAGGCCAAACATTTACACTAAATGGTCCTTGGATCCAGCCACCTTATTAAGGCCCAAGGACTATAGACTTAAGTGAGACTAGCCCATCAGGTCTAAGCCCTAAATGGTCTTACACTTAACCTCTCAGCCCATAATGATCAAACATTGCCCGACAAGAGAAGACCTCTCCCTCGACTGCAAGGTACAGTGTCACACTCTCTACTCAAGATGGATCCTGGGAATTAAATCCTTTGCAAACATTTTTCATAAAACATAATATATGTATATCTATATATAAATGTATTTTGCAAAACAAATCTCAAACACGTTTGAAATCACTRCCGGCAGTTTAGGTTTCCATCAGAGAGAGTGTTCTCCCAGATTCTGTCACTATGATCACCCACTCAGGTGAATTCTCAAACTGCCCCAACATACTCAGGTTTTAACCCCCTCTAAGGATCTCATTGATTGGCATATCAAAGACAGCCCAATCCAACACCTAGTGCAGTACCACAATCGAGTCTAGGGGTTAGGTGTAACTTTCTAGTTTTGCCCATCTGTCTCCAAGGTCAAGGGCATAACTGGAAAATGGTCAGATTCAGGGTTTCAAACAAACCCACACTACATGTGCTTCAGGTCTCACCCTGACAGGTGAGACAAGCCACCCCAACCGACTTGGCAGCACATTAGTGCCAGCCTTGGCAGGATAAACCTCCCCAGGTCTATCCAACGACTGTGAAGATTCTAAACTAACACGAGTCTCATAAGTGTCCAGTTTAAGGGTATTACACAGAAACACACCATATATAACATGAATAAATTATGTACAATTGTTCATTTACAATAAATGTCAAAAGTACATCAATCTGATTGGWGCTAAGGGCATACACTGTCTAACACAATCAGCCCTAATGCCCTAAAAAGTAACAATACAAAAATACAGCAAAAACAAAACTTAGCAAAACTCCTATATATTGGCACTTTCCTTCAAACTCTCCATTTGCTAAAATCTAGGGCTCGCATACAGGTACAAGCATTCCATTTGACATAGGGTGATCCATTGGATCAAGACTCTAGAGTTGTTCTCCTAGTTCACCTTTGATGGTATTTGGAGGAATTGGGAAGTAGTTGCTAAAAACTCCAAGAGAAAGGACAGAGTAGAGGTGGTATGGATCATGGTTTCAAATGTTGCGAAATTTCGCTAATGTTGCCCGACATATGTCGATGTCGAGGCTCATCGACATGAAAATGGATGGTAATATAAAAATTACATTATGTTGACAATTTTCACTAATTTCCTATAAAAATTACATTATGGCTCACCGAAATTTCACTAATTTCCTATATTTCGGAAATGTCGACCAAATCAGTCCAAATAACAAGAAAAAGGAAAGTTTTTCCTAATATTAATATAAATTATTCCATTAATAATTTCTATTTAATATTTCAAATAAAATATTTATAAAAAAGAATTAACCAAAAATAAAAACAAAAGAATAAATTAATTACTTTATAATATAAAACATAAAATATTAACTAGTTAGTATTTTTAAAATATTTATTAAAATCAGAAAATGTTTATTAA